ATCATCGTAGTGATAATCGCTATCGTCATCGTCATAGTCAGCGTCATCATCATGATCATCGTCACCATCATCATCAAAACAAACAGAGATTGAGACAATTTACTCCTACAGGTGGCAACTTCCTCCGTAATCACAAATAGCTGTTAAAGCATAAAATTCCTAGGTATGCACTTAGCGTTGTGTTTGAGTGGCAGATTTCAGTGCGAATCATTAATGTCCAAGCTACACTTAGTAGAATTTTTGATGAATAATCATTGCCATCGTTATTGCCATCGTCGTTATCATCATCATCATCATCGGTATCGTCATCGTCATCGTCATCGTCATCATCATCATCGTCGTCATCGTCATCTTCATCCTCACCATAGTTATTTAGCATCATCCTCATCATCTTCGTCGTGATTATCGTCATCGTCATCCTTCTCATAACAAAGAGAGATTATGGCAATTTACTGCTACGGGTAAATTCCTCCATAATCACAAATAGCTGTCAAAGCTTAAAATTTCTAGGTATGCACTTGTGTTTGAGTTGGGGATTTCATTGACAATAACTAATCTCCAACATACACTCGGTAGCATTTTTGGTTAACAATTTCTGGTCAGCGCTGAGACGTTAGTAGCAAACTTCGTTATGGTGTGTGTTTCTGAGGTATGAGCACAGATTCGCTAGACGTTTTTTCAGCCCAGAAGAGGGTAGTTAGATGACTGGTAGGTGTACCTAGCAAAGAGTCTTGTAAGAGAGATTTTTTTAAAAATATGTATTAATAAACTGCCAAGTGTTGCCAATATCTGTGTACAGGACAAAGTGATTACTTATACGCACCATAGAGGTAATACATAATTGGCATGACTGTCCCTGACTGTCTAGGTGTAAGGCTGTTCAACGCTTTCCTCGATCGATTAAGTCGATTGTCAATTTTAATTTGTTTGTGCAGTACCGCAAGAAATTTTTGGTTTATCAATGTTTTTATAGCGTTGATGAGTTCTTACTGTTCTTCTCAAATGCATGTTGAGTAGTTTCATGAGTTTGTATGTTCCATTTTTAATAATTTATACTATTGCTTTTAATGTGTATTTTTCATTTTTACCTTCTTATAGGCTTTATGAATTCGATTTTCTATCCTTGACCATCCCGATACAATTTGTTACAAAGTGTCTTTTGTTGAATGAATATTCTTATTATTATTATAAACAATGTATCAGTAATAAGTATGTATGGATTTTTGTGATACTCATATTCATCATCATAGCTATCATCGTCATCATCATCATCATTGCCATCGTCATCATCATCGTCGTGATCATTGTTATCATCATCGTCGTCGCAATCATCGTCATCATCATCATCGTCGTGGTCATCGTTATCGTCATCATCATCGTCGTGATCATTGTTATCATCATCGTCGTCGCAATCATCGTCATCATCATCATCGTCGTGGTCATCGTTATCGTCATTATCATCATCATCATCATAATCGTCATTATCATCGTCATCGTCGAGATAATCGTTATCGTCATCATCATCGTCAACATCATTGTCATCATCATCGTCATCGTCATCATCATCGTTGTGATCATAGTCTGGTTTCCGGAAAAGTTGCAACTATTGCTAAACTTTGGATATCAAGGACCAGATAAAAGTAATATCCATATAACCCAGACGCTAGTCTACGCCACACCTTAGTGCATTACGCTTTATTTGCATTTTATCAGCTGTCAGTCTTTTAACGACAGTAAACTGGGGAATATTAATATATGCGCTTTTGCGTATTAACGATAAGTGAAGGTTTAATGTACTGGTGAACCGAGAGAAAAATATTTATTTACACTATTAGCATTATCTGAGTTTTTTACGATAATAATTTGTAAAAAGTCCGAGGCTCAAGCAGAAATTATATATGATGCTTATGAACATATTCGATAGGGAAGACGTTATACTTTTGATTTTGTTTTCATTTTGAAATATTCCATGCAGAATGGTTCAGAGAATACGAAAAGTTAAAATTGCACAAGGTAGGACAAATAAAGTAAGCAGATAGACCGATAGGGGATACTTTCGGTTAGTTCCAAGGTTAGTCCGTGCTGATGATTGCCAAGAAGCATGAAACGGCTAGGCACATATAGCAGTTATGATGACGTCAGTCCTGTTATCTGTCACCACTGTAAGCGTCACTGGCTGTGATATTGTGATATAAGTCAGACTGGATTGTGTGAAGCTATTTCATACTCCACTCGAACTAGTATGGAACATTTCAAATTGAAACGCCAACGAAAATTCATAATCGGATTCAGAAACCTGTACTGGCCAAATAAAAATAGCGGAAAACGATTCTTTTTTATGTCACTGGTGGCAGATGGCTATCACATCTGTCAAAATAGTTCACCATAACCTTAAATATCATGAACAGGAGTGACGTCATTAATGCTTCTAGTAGAATGTAAAAACTATTTTGTTTTTGGGTAACTTCTAACTACTGCTTATCGATGTGAAAGCAGTAGTTAGAAAATAGAAAGACTGCATTAACCCATCATCAACGACTTTTATCCACATTTGTGCGACTAGCAACGATTCTGTATTCTGAAGTAGCTTACCTGTCGTAACATCTTTTCTGCCGCTTCCGGATTCCATGACCTAGCTATTAGAAACAGAAATATCAGTTTTAAAAGACCTATCAAAAGTAATGAATATTTTTTATATCTATACGCTTGTCAACTCGACAATCGATTTCGAAGCTATTTCAACATTCGTTGAAGACACGAGTATGCGGATTGTGGAACTATGTATCTTGACGGTTAAACTGTGTATATTTTGACGACATACTTGTAGTGTCTGCTTATGTTTTTCTTTATCCACGGTCCTAAAGAAAGCTTTATTATTTATTAAATTCTACTCTGTTCAAGCTAAGTTTGGCGAGTTGCTGTTGCATTAGTTTTATTTCTATAAGTTAACTAATTTTACCCTCGTAGCCAACGTAGTAGGAATGATCATCATGATGTGGTTGCAAGACGTCAGCGACACTTCGACGAAACTGAAAAAAAAAGAAACAAATTTACCCACTCATTGCATTGTCATTAAATGAATATTACACCATAATTGTCTAGATAGTAATTTAAAATGACTATCTAGTTGATTTGATACCTACCGCCTGGGTTAAAATACTTCCACGTGTTTAACGGATGTCATTCAGAAAATAAACTAGGTATTCGCATAAAAGGACGCTGTATTTGAATACTCATTTTTAGATAGATTTTTAGGATACACCCAAAAACATGATATCGTTTCCAATAATCAACATGGTTTTCACAAAAATAGATCTACCGATATTGCCATACACTTCTTCTATACACAGCTGATTAATTATATTGTAACAAGAATGAATACTACAGTTGGGAGACCCTCCTACGCGCCAGAGCTTCATGTCCGATCTCTGTTTTTACGCGGATCACGACCGCACATGCCGCTTGGCGACATCTGTTGAGGAGCCTGCCAGCGACTCGCCCTATGTGGCTCACCGGAATCTTCTCGAACCAACGATGCGGACAACTCCACTACTTTCCGCTGGCAACACTGTAGCGGACTATATTACTTGACGGCTGGAAGAGGGGAGTAGTAGAGCAGAGTGGAGTATAGTTCAGTCAGTGACCAGACATAAGAATTAGTCGGACATAAATGTTCTATCTAGTCAAGATAAATGAATTGGTGCATTCCCTTTTGGGACCCAAAAGTACCCAGAAAAACGCTACATTATTGAAGACGGAGAATGTCCAGCGGGCATTTTGTGTGTCATTCGATTGTGTAGACCAGAACGTTTTGTTGGACAAATTGGCATGATACGGTATTAGGGCAAAGCTTTGTCTTGGATAACATCATTTCTCAGGAACCGACGGCAATTTGTTACTATAAATGGTATCTCCCCGGATAGTAGGGGAATAAGCATCGGTGTTGCCCAAGGATCAGTATTAGGTCCCTTCCTTTTCGTAATGTACTATATATATCAACGACTTGAATAATCTGTCAGTGCCAGCCACTGATGACATTTCGATACTCATTTCGGACAAATTGCAGTCGATATTTGAGCAAAATGTAGCCTCATGATTTATAGTAAGAATGGTTGGTCTAATAGGAATCGATTACTCTTGAACGGAGAAAAACCAGTAGCTCTGAGGTTCCATAACAGTCAGAGAGGTAGGTATATGTCTCTCCGGCATGTAGATGAAGCAAAATGCACCCATCTACGAACTACTCTTCCCCCTCCCCATTACTGTATCGTTCTTTCTTAAGATTAACCATAGCGCGTTTGTCTATTCCGAATTCTATGTTGCTAATATTATTATCATTATTATTACTTATATATTTATTATTACTATTGTATATTCTATCTCATATTTATAATTAACAATGTGATATTGTCGTACGCCGCTAGGCTTCAGCGAAAGGTAACATTATGTAAGATGCAATTTATTTGAAATTTCATCTATCTAGAAAGTTGAATTAACGTTAATGCTTGAGCTGTAACAGGTTCCGTTGACTCCGTTTTTATCAGTTTACGATCGCCGTCGTCCATATTTATCCTCTTACACCGTTACCTCATTCTCGAGGTGCAATTTTTCGCTTATATCTAGGTGAAGAAATTCTCAACGGCCTAGTGTAGTCTAGCTCTGTGAATTATTATTATGAATGTGATGAAGAATGGAATCAATTGAAAAACGATGACACTAGTTAGAAAAGAACTCTTTTGAGTCATTTATTTAACAGTGGCGTAGCTACCGCCCCAAGATGAACAAAAGGTCAATCCTGCGCCCCCCCCCCTGAAAAAATTTCCTGTGGGGCGGGACCATGAGAAAAAAATCAGCTACAATACAATTTTTAAAAGACTCAGATTACACTTACACAAAAGTGAAATGGATTGTATATCATACATTACAGTGACAATCATCCGACTCGGTGTCATATATGACGTCAGTTACAAAGAGAATTGCATTTGCATTGGACATCGGATATGAGAAGCGATAAATCAGAAGAAGACGTTCCACCGGAGGAAGAAAAATGCGCACTAAGAGAAGTGATCGTTGAAGAACCAGAAGCTAGTGAAGATTCCAGTGAAGACTAGTAAGTAATTTTGCTTTATAACCTATCACAAGGAAAATCGAAAGTTTGTAAGGAATTTTTTTATTTTTTTACGAAGTATCTGATTCCAGAATAGGGATTTCCTTTTTCAATGCTTCATTTCAAGACTTGCAAGTAATCTGGCGTGTTTAAATCTGGGGATCTGCAACGGGAAGTAACAAAGATCATAAGATGGGTGCTCTTGTCTCTCGACATCAACAAAGCTTTTGGTCTGGACTTGATTCCTGACGTTGCATTGAAGAGTTTGCTCCACTTGCTCATGTCTAACCCATCTCAAACAAAGGATCTAAGACCGACCCTTACAACTACAGGCCTATAACTCTGCTTTCTGTTATAAGTAAGGTGACGGATTCTCCTCTTCATCCCACAACTTCAACGCGGGTCTTCCTCAGAGATCAGCCTTGGCTTCGACGTTATTCTTTTTTTTTGTCGATCGGTTTGGCATTGGAAGTTATCCATTTGCCACAGATGTTCGACGTTATTCCTCTCACATATCGACGACCTTCTTTCCTGTAAGATCAAGCTGATCCACAGCTTTATGATGACAGCACTCTACATGCAGGAATCCAGAATGACAACCCGATCTCTGCCAGTTAGCTGGAGGAAAGCAGGCTAGCGACGACTTCCTCTTTGACGAGAATCTTGTACACCTTAATGCTTCCAAAACACAGTATTGTGACTTGACGGACAAGAAGCGTCCTAGCGCTTATCCGGAATCCAGACCATTGAGGACGTGATGACTTGATGAAAAAGATAGTTTAAGTACTTTTCTCGTCATGACCTCCTCAACTTGTACAAGGCCTAAGACAAGACCTAGCCTCTAGTATTGCTCACATGTTTGGGGTGCTGCCGCTCCGACTGCATTATGCATGCTCGGTGCTGTCTAGAGGAGGGCTGTGCGACTGATCGGTGACCCTTCTCTAACAGACAGTCTCGGGACCCTTTCGCACCAAATAATAAATTGTGTGAGAAACAAATTCCAAGATAGTTGCGGTCAATTTAGCAATTTGCATCATATCATTACTTTTGCTCTCTCATTTTATAACAAAAACAAAAAAGCGACCAACAGCAGTTATAAGAAATAGACTATTACATTACAGTGTGGCACGTCCTCAGAACCGAAAAACTCAGATAAAGGGTTGTCCAATAGGGACGCAGGAAAGTAAACGTCAATTTGACATGGACGCCATCTTTGTTTTCTGTCACCGACATGTCATTTTGTTAGTTGAATGTTTACCATTGATCGCTATGGAGTCGTATTCGATTGAAGACCGCATTAAAGTTATTCAAGAGCACTACAAAAATGGTGCAAAAATAAAAAAACACGTTTCGCGCGCTTCGTGAACATTTCGGTCGCAACAACCGCCCAAACGAAACAACCATCGGTCG